CCGAGTGGTATACCAGCCTCGACCAGCGCGCCTATTCCTACGAGCTCAGCATCATGGAGGCAGCCGCTGCAGCATTCCTCAAGAGCCATCACAAGGAGATGTAGGAGTACATTTCCGAACAGACATTTTCATCATTGGCCTGCGTCGACTCGCCAAGCTACTGCGGGAAGCAGCGCAGCATGGGCGACGGCGCCGCCTGGTTACCAGAAGAATCTCCATGGAGATAACCTGCGCCATCGAACGCCCGACCAGCAGCTTACCGACGCAGCGCCCCGACCAGCACTACAACGGACTTATGCGACTCGCTATGGGGGCTCAGGATGCCAAAAACAGCAACGACTACAACGGCTTCTTCCACGCGGTGCGAGATTGGTACAACGACACCCGGAAAACATCATCATGACTGGTCAACGACGACTACGACGAGTTCCTCAGCCAGCAAGCGACGCGTGCAGCAGAAGCGAGGCACAACAATGAGCCATGCCACGAATGGAAACGAGTACGTCTGCTTCTACTTTTTTGGCGGGCGCAGGCGCCGCAAGACGCGGGCGTTCCATGTGGTGATCGACAGCGAAGGCGGGATTATCGCCGACGCTGCGTCTAAGCGCAACGAGGCCGTTCACCATTTCGGCGACGTAGAAATTGCAGCTTTCATGACGAAGACCGACATCTCAACGCGATGCAACAACGCCGACGACATCTGCGACCGCACTACGGTCTGAAGCATCGACAACTTCGCCAGCATCTACGAGCTCGAAGAACAACTGGCGCGGTCCAAACTCGGGCGAGCTGCAGGGCCTAACGAAGTTACCGACGACCTCGCCTTCGCGGCACCACGACAGATGGCGCGCCACATGCATTCGCTCATGACAAGGAGTGCACTGTTCATCCGAGAAGCAGTGACGCACAAAGGATCGCGAATGACACGCTTCTGGAAAGGGAAAGGTACCGAAGAGGTGCTACAACACCACCGATCAATATCGCTCGCCAACAATCATCAAGCACCACTACAGGTACCTACGCCAGTGCATGAAGGACTTGCTACCTGGGCTGTTCTTCAGCACGCAGATGGGAGGTCGAAACCATTGCAGCACGGAGTGCAACCACCTCATGATGCGCTTGACCTTCAACCTTGCAGCTGCGGGGGATCTGGCCTCATAGTGGTCATGATCGACTTGATATACATATATATATATATATATATATATGTTTTTGTTGTTTCTTTATTCATATTTTTCAAAAGTAGCCACGAATTTGGTGTACGACATGCAGATGAGCGCCGACGACATCGACAACGTGACCGGCTACATGGACATCCCCCAATGCATGCAGCTGGCTATGCAGGCCCTCATGCACAAGAACGGCATCGTCAGCTCCCACGTAGACAACAAGGACCTGCTCATGATGCTGACCGAGGCCCACCGCAACGCACGGCTCTTCACAGAGCGCGACTCAGACAACGCAGCACCAAGGCTAGGAACACGACCGGGAGTACCGATCGCCGGCTTCACATTCAACGCGTTGATGTCTGCCGTCGCCAAAGAATATCACGAAGAGGCCATCGAAGCGGACGCCGCCGTAATAATACCAGCCAGCCCACCAGTATTCAGCATGATTCCCGAGGGCCAGCACATGACGACAACGTCGTTCGTCGACGACGTGAAAGCTATGGCAATGGTCACCGACGGCAACGCGATCGAGTCCACCGTCGCAACCATGTGGGGGATACTGATACGAACGACACTACCACGAGGACTCCCCATCAACACTACCAAGTCCAACTTCCTCATGTTCGCCAACAACAAGGATGGACAAATAATCGCGAGACGAATGCTTACCGACCAAAAGCAGTACACGAACATGGGGATGACAGTCACTATCGCGCGCTCGCTCAAAGTTCTGGGCGCAAAGGTGGACGATCGGAACGACATCGCCCAGGAAGCTGCGGCACGAGTACTTGCTCTAAAGGAGGCTACCACACCACTCCGAAAGACGGTGTTCAAGCGCGACAAGATCACGAACGCGGCCAAGATCCGCTACCTCAATGCTATTAGTTACTCGCGCCCACTATACGACGCATGTACCTGGATACCTGCCAAAAAAAACCGACGCGGACAGGATCGCTACTGCCTACGCAGCGGTTGCGAGGATGGCACTGGGCATCGACCACCAGACCACTCAGCGTGAGCAGATCACCAACATCGAGATCATCAGCTGGGCAGGCATCGCGACACTCCCACAAAGACTACGGCAAGCAAGGGTGCGAGAGATTCTGCGCCTCACCACCGCGTGCCCGACGGAACTAAGGGCCTTGCTTGACTGCGACATCGAAAACAACGGCAGATGGTCCACTACGATGCAGACGACCTCCACCACACCAACACTTACACGATCAAGCACCATAGTACGCCCAACCACGACGACATACCCAACTGGATAGGCATGGCAAACAACGAACCCTCCAACTTCAAGGGCAACCCCGCATGCCTACAAGACAGCCGTCGAGTTCAACAAAGAGAGAGCAGCCACAGCTGCCTGGGGACGATGCACCAACGACATCTGCAACGGCACCACTATTCCGACGCCTGGCATTGAAGCTCCACAGCACGACTGCAGGCACCTATGCTACGAACGCGGGCACACCTTGCGCGGCAAGTCAGCGTATCAAAAGCGCATGCGCGCGAAGCACAGCCGACAGGAACGTATTATCAACTACATCCACGGGGCTGCATGCCAGGTCTGTATGAGGGGGTGCTGGACGGTCAACCGACTGAACAAGCGCATGTGCGCCAGCCGACAGTGTGCATCAATCACCAGGCAGTTCTGCAAGCGGCTCGATGATGGCGCAGCATGCGACATACCCGAGGAGATACGGCGCATACGGCGGACCAACAAGAACAAGGATTACCCGAAGACTACGCAGACAGCCATTGCGTCCAACTCCACGGGCCACCACTTGCACTACGAACAGGCGCGGACGACGAACGCACCACGATGATTCCTGCACCAGCCCCTCTGTCACCGCAAGCAGACGAAGGGCAAGATGAGCGGCGAGGACAGATGGAAGGCGCCCAGTTAGGCGATCGCCGCATATGCCACAGGCGGCCCGACGCAGTCGACGGTGAGACAGCGGAGGCATGCAACGACAGGCCACGTCGGACTACGACAATCCTGCTCATCACCGACCAGATTGCCACCTCACCAGCGGCGACACTATGCGCATCGTGACGGCATCGAGCAGCAAGCAAGCCTACAACACCGACGAGTAATAACACTTACCGTAGCGAACCACACGAGTCAGATGCACAACGACAGGAGGCCCGACCACACCAACAACGCTATCCACGATGCTATACGGAACGGTACCATCGACGCCATCTGCTACAACAAGTCCATGCCGAGCCTCGGCAACAGCAATCAACTCCGCGACGAGCAACGCCCGTGGGTAGAAGAGACTCCAGTAGACACGACTCGAGGACCACCATGGAAGGCAACGCGGAGATACGCGACGCCATCTTCCTCATGTGCACGTGCATCACCAACGACGCGGCCAGCTTGATGAACATCGGACCGATCGCGGCAACTGCTCCACACGAGCTACAGCACCTGAAGAGCCACAACCTTGTCACCGTGACCGACCCCTTTATCACAAGCAAGCACTTCCAGAACACCAGCGGCGGCGACGACGACGCAACGCGAATCCTGGCGGCAGCGAGCGGAAGCGGCCACGTCGACGCACAACAGACAGGTGGCCTCACCGAATACGTGGCCCACTACGACCGCTACTTCGGAGAGAGCGCGCATGACCGACCAAACCAAGCAGGCGAGCCCGCGCAGACCCCACAGCGCACTGCGCCGAAGGGTGGGGGATGATGTGTCGCATGCACCATGGACGAGGAGCAGATATAACGCAAGTCCCAGCCGGAAGCACGCATACAGTCACTCCCTGGGGTGCTGCATGAAACGCGTCTGGGAGCCTGCAATCCTTTCGGAGGATAGTCAGGTGACGAGAGTGGACCATCGCACCTCGGGGGCCGTGGCATCTCCCCTCGGAGCCAGCATCCCCTTCGGAGGGCTGTATGGGGCTGAGGGTGAGTGCCGCGGCTCCATAGTGCGAGCAGGGACTGTGTGCGGACCGTTGGGCTCACGTCGCCGCGTTGTTGCTGAGCCTGCAGTGCAGCGGGAACGACGTGCTCTCGACGAACTACCTCATCATGGATGCCCCCCTTGGCGGTGAGCGTGCCTGCTCCATGGCAAAAGGGCTGTGGGGTGACGGCGGCCGCCGATGGGGGGGCGAGACGACGGATCCTCGGTGACAGGGGGCCCGTCGGAGCTCGTGGCCGCGGCCATCGGAGGCCGTCGTCTCCCTCTCCTCGCCCTTGGCCCAGGAGGCATCCTCCCCCCCCCCCCCTCTCGGCCTCGCTCGGGGCCTGGCTCGCCTCGCTCGCCTCGCGTGTTCGGCTCGTTCGGCGTCGCCTCGCGCGTTCGGCTCGCTCGGCGTGCCTTTCGCTGCGTGCGCGGCGCACGTCCGGGCACGCACGCGCGGTGCCCGCGCGCGGCGGCGCGCGCTCGCGGGCGCCGCGGGGCTACGTGGAGACCCGCGAGCGGCCCGCAGCGCCAGGAGGAGGAGGAGGAGGAGGAGGAGGAGGAGGAGGAGGAGGAGGAGGAGGAGGAGGAGGAGGAGGAGGAGGAGGAGGAGGAGGATGTGGAGGTGGAGGTGGAGGAGGAGGAGAGGAGGAGGAGGAGGAGGAGGAGGAGGGAGGAGGAGGAGGGAGGGAGGAGGAGGATGTGGAGGTGGAGGTGGAGGAGGAGGAGGAGGAGGAGGAGGAGGAGAGGAGGAGGAGGGAGGAGGAGGAGGAGGAGGAGGAGGAGGAGGAGGAGGAGAGGAGGAGGAGGAGGAGGAGGAATGAGGAGGAGGAGGAGGAGGAGGCGCGCTCGCCGCCGACAGGCAGGTCAGGACCAGGTCGTGGGTCGGCCCGCACAGCGGGGTGCTTTCTGAGGCCGTGCTCGCGGGTTTGGTCCGGGAGGCCAGTGCCCGCCACGGGGTCCGCACCGTCTGCGAGTGCTCCATGGACATCAGCGTCCCGAGGCCCCGCGAGAGACCTGCTCCTCGCCGTCGTCGACGCCTGCCCCTCACCTTCCATGTCCTCCTCCTCCTCCCTCCTCCTCCTCCTCCTCCTCCTCCTCCTCCTCCTCACCCTTCTCTCTCCTCCTCCTTCTCCCTCCCCTTCCCTCCAAAATATATCAGACTTGTTATTTGTGTGTATGTGCGTGTGTGTGTGTGTGTGTGTGTGTATGTGTGTGTGCGTGCGTGCGTGCGTGCGTGCGTGCGTGCGTGCGTGCGTGTGTGTGTGTGTGTGTGTGTGTGTGTGCTTGTGTGTGTGCTTGTGTGTGTATAGATCGAAGAAGCCTGCGGCGAGTCACCGCCCCCTGCCTTTAAGGATACGCCTAGGAGGCCAAACGTTTGGGCAAAGCTTGGCCGCGCTATTGGACCATTTGCTCCCCCAACCGTTGTGGAAGCCCTTCGGGGAACACGTGGGGGAGAAAGAGGAGGACGAGGAGGACGAGGGAGGAAATAGGAGAAACAGGAGAAAGGCAGGTGAAGCCCTCTTGGGAGCGTCTGGGGCCACTCTTGGGGCCTCCTGGGAGTTTCCTGGAGGCCTTGTGGAGGTCCTTGGGGACCTCATTGGGCCTCTCTGGGGCCTCTGGGAGCTTCTTGGGGTCCTGTTTTGCTGTCTTGCGGCGTTCCTGGCCCGTCTGACGCCGTCGGAAGCCGTCTTGGATGCCTCTCTGAACCGACTTTGGGTCCTCTTGGGGCGCTTCAGGGCCGTCTTGGAGGCCATCTTCAGCGTCTTGGAGGCCTCTTGGGCCGCCCTGGGGCCTTGGGGTCGTCCTGGAGGCCTCTTGGGCAGTTGTGGGGCCATTTTCGAGGCCTCTCAGGCGATCTGGGGCGATGTTGGGGGCCTTTTGGGCCGTCTTGAGCCCTCGGAGAACCCAAAACAAGCAAAAGCCAGAAACCTTCAAACACATAAGGACAATCACTGATTTTGGCCTCTTCGGCCTTTCCTGGAAGCCTTTTTGAAGACCTCTTGGGTCGTTTTGGGCGCTTCTTGGGCCGTCTTAGGCTCTTTCGGACCATCTTCGTAGTCTTGGAGGCATCTTGGGGCCGTCTTGGAGGCAATCTTGGGGCTATCTTGTGCTCTCTTGGGGCTATCTCGGCCGTCTTGGAGGCATCTTGACCACCCTGGAGGCCATCTTGAAGCCATCTGAAGCGAGGAAGCCGACGAGACAGGCAGCCGGCGCGCTGTGCCGAAGGCTCAGGGGAATTCCTAAAAGAGCCAGGAACCTTTTAAAACGTCCACCACGGCGGGCAACCCTGTGGCGAGCCAAGATTGGCGGCGGATCGAAGACGCTTACGGCGAATCACCGCCGCCCCCTGCCTTTGTGGAAGCGCCTATGTGGCCGAACGTTGAGGCCAGACCTGCCAAGCTATCGGACCATGTGTTCCCCGACTCTGTTTGGAAAGCCTTTGTGGGGCACGTGGGCATCTTGAAGGTCATCTTGGCCGCCTGGAGGCCATTTTGACCCTTTCGGGCCTTCTTAGAGGACGTCTTGGAGGGCTCGTGGGCCGTCTTGGAGGCCATCTTGAGCGTCTTGGAGGCCTCTTGGGCCATCTTGGGGGCCTCTTGGGGCCGTCTTGGGCGCCTCTGGGGCCGTTCTGGGGCGATCTTGGAGGCCTCTTGGGCGATCCTTGGGCGATCTTTGGGAGCTCTTGGGCCGTATCGAGCCGTCGGAAGGCCGAAACGAAGCAAATGTCAAAATCCTTCAAAACCTTAGGAAAATCACTCTCTTTTGCCTTTTCTGGCATTCCTGTAGGCCCTCTTGGAGGCCTCTTGGGCCGTCTTGGGCCAGCTGCGAGCCACCTTCGGCCATCTTGGTGGGCTCCTGGCCCGTCTGACGCCGTCGGAAGCCGTTTCGGGGGCCTTTCTGGGCCGACTTGGGGCCCTCTTGGGGTGCTCCAGGGCCGTCTTAGAGGCCATCTTGGGCGTCTTCGAGGCCTTTTGGGCCGTCTTGGCGCCCTCTTGGGGCCGTCTTGGGAGCCTCTTGGGCCGTCATGGGGCCATCTTGGAGGCCTCTTGGGCGATCTTGGGGCGATCTTGGGGGCCTCTGGGGCCGTCACGGGCCGTCGGAAAGCCAAAAAGGCGCAAATACCCAAATCCTTCGAAAACGTTAGGGACATCACTCTCTTTGGCCTTTTCTGGCCTTCCTGGAGGCCCTCTTGGAGGCCTCTTGCGGGCCTGTCGGGCCGTCTTAGACAATATTGAGGCCATCTTGGGCCGTCTTGGATGCATCTTGGGGCCATCTTAGCCGTCTTGGAGGCCATCTAGGCTGTCTCGGAGGCATCTTGCAGGCCATCTTCGTTATTTTTTGAGGATGTCCCGAGCGAGGCGGCCGTTTTTGGCGACGACGGAACGATTTTCCATGTGGCCGGCGGGACGCGCCGGAGCCCTTCTTTTGGAAAACAAGCCAAAACCAAAACCGAGAAGGTTCATCACGCCAGGCACCCCTGCGATGAATCGACAGGGGGCGGCGGATCTGTAAGTGATGCACGTGAATGATTGCTAATGTCTGTCGCCTTCTCGCTCAAGGCACTTCTTTCGGGGAGTCATTCTCTGAATGGCCACAGCCCTCTTCGGGGCGGGGGCTCATTGGGTCGCGGCGATCGGCGGCCAGGCGCTTGGCACCTGGCTCGGCAGCAGCAGCAGCAGCGGGTGCGACTGCAGTTGCCACTTCGACGCCTCGCCCGACGAGGCCCTCATCGGGCTGCTGAAAGGACAGCTCGACAGGTGCGGTCCGGAGCACCTGCACGGGCAGCCGACGTTCACGCCAGCCTGCCCCGAGCCTGGGCACACCCGGCTGGAGCTAGGCCTCTCGCTCGTGCTCGGACTGGTCCTGGGCGCAGTGCTCCGCGAGGTCATTGGCTGGACGACAAGACGACGCGCTCGCAGAGAGACCCAGTCAGTGGCCCATGGCAGCCTCGCGGACTGCCAAGGCCCTGGAGACCCTGCAGGTGGGTACACGGGTCCTCGCCTACTACGAGCAAGAGGACAACTACTGGCATGAACGGATCCTGGTCGGCAGGATCACTGCGACCAGATGGGTGGTGGTCACACCACATTTTGACATCTACGAGGAAGACTTCGCGGACGCCCTGCAGCTCTGCCCAGTCGGCCCCCTCGGGGGCTTGCCCACGAAGCTCTCTGGCCACATCCTCCGCATGGACATGGACCGCTACAAGAGGAACGAAGCGAGGTTGCTGGCAGAGGGCAAGCAGCTGGCTAGCGAGATCCGCCGAGAGGAGGGCCTCCCCGACGAGCCACATGGGGCGCTCGCGCCACCGCCTGCACCTGGTGGGGCTCTCTTGGATCGGGCTGACGCTGGTGGCGCTCCTCGCTGGGTTGCCTTGGAGGCTCGCGCTGGCTACCGACCAGGTGACGAGCTTCCAGCAGGGTCCGTGCCCGTCGCCATTCTTGGAGATCGGGGCATCTGCGAGCTTGCCGACGGAACCAAGCTGGCAGTCGCGAAGGCCGACACCTATGAGGGCACTCCCACCCCCCGGCAGGAGCGTCAAGCTGCAGAGCAGGATCTTCGGACTCTCCCCGTCAAGTACGACTCCGGCGGCTCCAGGGTCAGGGACTTCGCCGAGGCGGTGGACATCATGTCCTCCAACCCGCAGCTGGACTTCCCTGTCCTCGGGCCGCGGACGACCCTGTGGCTGGTGCAGCAGTTCAGGCGGCTGGGCCAGACTCCCCTGCAGCGACATATGTGGTGGAGGCAGACCCAGAACCTCACCGCCGCAGATGCTGGAGTTGATGAACATCAGTTCCTTTCAGAGCTGCTGGAGATGGGCGCCGAAAAGGACCAACTCAATGAGGGCGAGCTCGCGACCTTTGAAGCTGTGTCCCGACGGTGCCAACTCTGGGAGGAAGTCTATGCCAACAGACTTCGTGCGCACGAGGCGGGCGCGGTGCGCAGTGCAGGGGGCTCAGCTTGGCTCGACGAGCGTGAGATCTTCTTGGGGCAAGTGCGTGGGCGTGGTGGACCTTTGGTTTGTCCTGCACTTCAGAGCTGGGTGGCAGCCCGCCTCCAGGAGGAGGCAGCAGTACTCAAAGAGCGGCGCAAAGGACGTGAAGAACATATTCTTTGCTCGAGGTGGTGTGGAAGAGAACAGCGCAACCAGGCCGAAGTCAAAAGCAAAGGCCAAGGGCGGTGCTGACGGGGCTTCCTAGCCCCATCCCTACTCCGAAGTGGCTTGGTCGCCCGCGTGCCCCCGAGCGGTCGACTATTCTCAAGGGGAGGTGCTGGTCATACAGCACTACGTTTTGTGGCGACGGCGGCGGAGGGCGTCATCGAGACCTACTTCCTATCCCGATCGGTCCGGAGCTGATGTCGATGCTGAGCGGTGGAGCTGCATGGGGCACTTCACTCACAGCACGGAGGAGAGCTGCGACCAGGAGGCGGCAGGATCAGTGGCTACTCGACGGCATCACCTCCCTCAACGAGCTGGGGGGGCAGGGGCGCCATGTGCCTGCCCTCGCCCCGCTGACGGCGGCCCAGCGTGCTGCGGTGAGGCGGCTGGCCACGACCTACGGCAAGTGGTCGCCGCCCGTTGATCGCCCTAGTCCCCATGAAGCGTGGGCGACGCTACAGGGTCTCAGGCCTGGCTACTCTGAAGTCGAGGCCTCCGGTTCTCGAGCAGTCTACCAGCGGGGAAATATCTCTCTCCCCAAGATCGGCGCGGGCAAGGTGGCTCTTACGGAGGTCCTCCCCGCTGAACTGCAGAACAAGCTGGAGACTGGGCGCGGGCTGTTGCGATCCCCAGTGGAGGCAGCAGCGCTAATTCGTGATGCAGGTGCTCCTCGTGCCATGGGCCCGAAGCTCGGGCGGCTCGGCTACGACTACGGCCACGCGCTGGGGGAGCTCTACACCTCTGGAGTGATCGAGGCCAGCTCGGAGCCAGTGTTGGAGGAAGCTGGCATGTTTTTTGTGGCTCGCAAAGACAAGCGGTTGCGTCTCGTCTGCGACGCCAGGACACCCAACATGCACTTTACCACTCCAGAGCACACGGCGCTCGCGACGGGCGAGGCGTTATCCTCGCTGGAGGCGTCGGGAGTCACTATGATCGGCATGAGTTCTGGAGACGTCGACAGCTGTTTCTATCAATATGCATTGCCGCCCTGGTGCAGGCGCTACTTCAACCTCCCGCTGATCGAGAGTCGCTTCCTGCCACCAGAGGTTCGGAGCGCCTGCGGGCTGACGGTGAAGAGCGGCCAGGTTCGCTTTCGATTCAAGGTGGTGACCATGGGTTGGAGCTGGGCAGTGCACTTTATTCAAGAAGCACACCTTCACCTCGTCAAGTCAGTTTTGCCAGCGCAGCCGTGGTGCTTGGACAAGTGCCCCGGCATCGACTTGAACTCTGAGGATGCCAAGGTCCTGTACGTAGACAACTTTGCTGTGCTGTCTCAGTCGTCCGACCGTGCCGCCACCGCCGTCGCCGACATGCAGGCGGCCCTCGCGGCCAAGGGCGTGGTCTCAGAGCTAGACCCCGCCCCAGCCGGTCGCGGCGAGCTGCTGGGATGCGAGCTCGACCTGCAGACGGGCTGCTGGCATGTGCTGGGCCGCCGGCTATGGCGGGTCTACGGTGCCCTCGAGCATGTCCTCTCGGGTCGGGCCAAGGTCTCTGGCCAAGAGCTTGAGCGTCTGATTGGCCACCTGGTCTCCATCCTGATGCTGCGTCGGGAGGGGCTGGCCATGCTGCACTCCTCATGCGAGTTCGCGCAGGCCTCCTACTCCAAGAAGCAGCCGCTCTGGAAAAGCGTGGCCCGTGAGATGGGCTGGGTCAAGGCGCTGCAACCTTGTCTTCGGGCCGACACCCGGCGCCCGTGGAGCGAGGTGGTCACTTGCTTCGACGCGCCCCCCTGGGGCTACGGCATCGTGGAGACCGACTGGGACCTCAAGGACGTGCAGCGCGTCGGCCGGGTCTCCGAGCGCGCCCGATTCCGAGGCGTGCTCGCTGCCGAGGGCGCCCCCCGCGAGAGGGCGCTGGAGCAGGAGATGGCGCGGGCGCCAGAGCCCGCCCTCCTGCTGGCAGGTCGTTCGGCAGGTTTCCCGGAGGTCGACTACGGCAAGATGCACGCTCGGCCCTGGCGCGTAGTTGGCAGCGGCCGCTGGAAGCGCAAGGGGGCCATCCACGGGCTCGAGGGGGCCGCTCTGAGGTGGGCCGTCCGCCGGGCAGCTAAGGACGCTCGGGGGCACTGTTCTCGCCGACTCTTTCTTGGCGATAACATGTCCCTCACTCTCGCTGCCGCCAAAGGTCGTGCTGCCAATCGTCGTCTCTTGGGAGTCTGTCGTGTCCTTTTTGCAGTGGGAGTCGCAGCAGACCTGGAGGTTCAGGTGAGGTGGCCCCCCTCAGAGTGGAACCCGAGCGACGGTCCGTCTCGACGCTTTCAGCCTCAAGGCCCCGAGAGCGTGCATGGAGGTGGCGACGCTCCGGGCGGCGCCGCCCATGCCGGTGGCCTCGGCGAGCTGCCGCTCCGGCCCTCGCGCGCCGAGCGAGCGCAGGAGCCGTTCGCCTCGCCGCCCGGGCAGCCGCTGCCAGGGCAAGCCGAGGCGGGCCGTGGTCCCGGCGCTGGCCGGGCCCGGGAGCAGGCCAGACTTGGCTGGGCGGCGCGCAAGGCTTGGCCTCAGTCACTCGGAGAGCGACTTCGACCTGAGGAGGCGCCAGCTGTGCCCGCGCCAGACCCGCCTTGCGGCCGCCAAGGTCAGGCCTCGCACGCAGGAGCTTTACCTCGGGATGATCCTCGGCTTGGTGCGCTGGCTGAATATGGCCTTCCTCCCGGACTGGCCGCGCCGCACGTGGGGCGAGACGCTGGCAGAGTACGCCGAGTCAGTCTGCGACCGCGGGGGCTCCAAGGCGTCTACTCAGCGGCTGGCCCCGGCGCTGCTCTGGGCGGAGCCCGCCCTCCACAGGGCTGGGATCCGCGAGGTCTTCCCCCTGACGCACCAGACGCTGAAGGGCTGGAACGTCCTGGAGCCGTCCAAATCCAGACCGCCCGTCCCGTTCTTGGTGGTGCGGGCAGTGGCCTGCTGGCTGTGCCGGGCTGGGAAGCCGCTCAGTGGCTTGGCCGTTCTGATCATGTTCGAGACCTACGTGCGCCCCTCGGAAGTGCTGGCCCTGCGAGCAAGGCAAGTAGTCCTGCCACTGCCAAAGGAGGGAGGCGCATCGGTTTTCTTGACGTTCGTGGCGCGGGCCTCGGAATACGAGATCCCGACCAAGACCAACGAGTACGACCTCTCAGTCCCACTCGACCTTCCCAGGCAGCAGTGGATGGTGGATCCAATCTCCTTTGTGCAGGCCCTTCGCGGGCCAGACGACCTCTTCCTGGGCCTGGGCTACAACCAACTGGCGGGGGACTTCCAGAGCGCGACCTCCGCTCTGGGGTGAGCTTACTCAGGCCACCCTCTACTCCCTCCGGCATGGAGGGGCCAGCCGCGACCGGAGCACGGGCGCCAGAGGCTTAGGCGCCGTGCAGCAGCGAGGGGGGTGGAAGGCGTTCAAGTCCGTGCTGCGCTACGAGAAGCACGGGCGCCTCTCGCTGGAACTCCGCAAGCTCAGCGACCAGCAGCGCGAGGCCCTCCGAGCAGCAGGCGGGGACTACGTGGGCGTCTTCAACAGGTCCTTGGTGCTGCATTTCGGAGCGCACCCCATCAGACAAGAGCGTGCATCGAAGTCTTCTCGGGATGTGGGGCGCTGAGCAAACATCTGAGGCAGAGAGGTGAGGCTGTTGTTGAATGGGACATCCAGCACGGTGACCATTTCGATTTGACTCGACCAGGGGTCTGGAGGATCCTCCGAGGATGGCTAACTTCTGGACTGGTCAAACTCGTTTTCCTGGGAACACCCTGTGGCGGGTGCTCGAGGGCCCGTCGGGCCCCCCCGTCCAGCAACATGCCCTCGGCTCTCCGGAGCCCCGCTTTTCCTCTTGGGATCCCGGGCCTCACGGGTAAAGACCTCGAGAGCCTTCGCGTCTCAAACAGAGTAGGGTGGGTCTCACAGCGTATTCAGCGTCTCTGCTATAGGTTAAATATTCCAGGCGGCGAGGATAACCCTTGGCAAAGTTTCCTGTGGCTTCGCCCCGACCGCCGCTCGTTCGCCATGCTTCCCGATGTCTGTGATAGGGTTGTCGATTACTGTGCCTGTGGTCGCCCCTTTCGTGCTCGCACTCGGATAAGGTTCTGGAAGTGCAGCCCACATCCTGGTCTAGATAAATTAGTGTGCAAAGGCAGAGGGGTCTGCTCCTTTACCGGTAAGCCTCACCTCGAGCTCTCCGGTTGCTTTTCGGAGGGTGGTTTCCTCACCCGTCTCAAAAGCGCCTATCCCCCCGCCCTCTGCGCACTCCTGGCTGACGCACTGCACCGAACGTGTATAGCACAGCATTCCACCGAAAGATGGAAACGAATGCGGGGTTAAGCCCCAGCACAATGCTTGTGTGATGGATTTTGTTTCAGGTTGAAGTATGGCAGATCTGTGTCGCACTAGCCAGCCTAGCTTGCCCGTGCTTCGTTCGAATCCTCAAGCAGTCTGAGCCACTGGCAAATGAAGCGATCATGTAAGTGATGCGCGTGAATGATTGCTAATGTCTGTCGCCTTCTCGCTCAAGGCACTTCTTTCGGCCCACGCCAGCCCAATGCTTCGTTTTAATGGTACCTTGAGCAGATCTGTGTCGCACTAGCCAGCCTAGCTTGCCCGTGCTTCGTTCGAATCCTCAAGCAGTCTGAGCCGCTGTCAAATGAAGCGATCATAATGGTCTTTGGCACATCCCGCCACCGTGCCTGGGTTGTGGGTCATTCGCCTGCGCGATGTTCGTTGGGATGTCGCGGAGGGCCTCTCGGGGGCCTCTTGGGGGCCGTTTGGAGGCCTCTTGGGTGCCGTTTTGGGACCTTTTGGGTCGTCTTGGGGCGTCTTGGGGGTCTCTTCGGGCCTCTTGGGGGCCTCTTGGGGGCCTCGTGGGGGCCTCTTGTGGGCCTCTTGAGGGCCTCTTGGGGCGGAAGAGTCGGATTTTCCATTCGTATTCCTTCTTTTCGGCCCTTCTTGGATCTGCCTTTGGGCCCTTTTGGGTCGTCCTGGGCGTATCTGGGGCCGTCTTGGAGCCTCTTGCCCCGTCTGGGGGCCCTCTTGGGCGCCTCTTGGGCGCTTCTTGGGCCGTCTTGGGCTCTTCTGGACCATCTTCGCGGTCTTGGAGGCATTTTGGGGCCGTCTTGGAGGCAATATTGCAGCTATCTTGGGCTCTCTTGGGGCCATCTCGGCCGTTTTGGAGGCATCTTGACCACCGTGGAGGCCATCTTGAAGCCATCTTGAAGCCATCTGAAGTGAGAAAGCCGGCGCGCTGTGCCGAAGGCCCAGGGGGGAGTTCTAAAAGAACCAAGAACCTTTTAGAACGTCCGCCACGCTGGGCACCCCTGTGGCAAGCCAACGGAGCGGCGGATCTAAAGGCCTTCGCCCATCCCACCACCATGCCTGGATTGTGGGTCATGGGCCTGTGCGATGTTCGTTGGGATGTCGCGGAGGGCATATAGGGGGCCTCTTGGGGGCCGTTTGGGGGCCTCTTGGGGCGGAAGACTCGTATTTTCCGCTCGTGCTCCCCATTTTTGGCCCTTTTTGGATCTGCTTTTGGGTCCTTTGGGCCGTCCGCGTCTCTGGGGCCGTCCTGAAGCCCTCTTGCGCCGTCTGGGGGCCCTCTTGGGAGCCTATTGGGCCGTCTTTGGGCGGTCTTGAGGACCTCTTGGGCCGTCATGGAGAATTTCGAAAAGTCGAGGGCCCCAGCAGGATAAAAAAAACCGCAGGGAAATCAATGATTTTGGCCTCTCGGAGCCTTTTTGGGGCGCCTCTAGGAGGCCTCTTTGGATGTCTTAGGCGCTTTTTCGTCCGACTGGAGACCATCTTGGGCTTCTTGGACCGATCGTGCAGAGATTCGGGGCCCTCCTGGGCCAGCTGCGCTACCCCGGGGAACCCCGGGGAATCCCCGGCAATCCTTGGGAATCCCCAGAAATCTGTGTGAAACGGGTAGTCTGGGCCTGTAACGCCTTGCAAGTCTTCATTTCTCAGGGCTGCATGAGCCTTGGATCAGTCCACAACGTGCTGAAGTGGCGGACATCTTCAGATTCCCCAATCAGAGCTTGCCTCTGTAGGGGTCCTAGCGGATTCATATGGTTAGGTTCGGTTTGCCGCCGATTTTCGGTGCACGCCCGGGTGCCCGGGTGCCCGGGGGTGCCTGGGTGCCCGGTTTGCCACCGATTTTCGGTGCACGCCCGGGTGCCCGGGTGCCCGGGGGTGCCCGGGTGCCCGGGGGTGCCCTATATAGCCCTATAGCCCTATAGCCCTACAGCTCTATATAGCCAGATAGTACTATAGCTCTATAGCTCTATAGCCCTATAGCCGTATAGCCCCATAGCCCCATAGCCCCATAGCCCTATAGCTCCATATCCCAGTAGCCCAGTAGCCAAATAGCCCTATAGCCCTGTAGCCCTATAGCCCTACATCCCTATAGCACTATAGCCCTACAGCCCCATAGCCCTATATATAGCCCAGTAGCCCTAGCCCAATGGCCCTATAGCCTTATAGCCTTATAGCCTTGCAGCCCCATAGCCCTATAGCCCTATAGCCCAATGGCCCTGTAGCCCTATAGCCCTATAGCCCTACAGCCCCATAGCCCCATAGCCCCAATAGGCCTCGTAGGCCCGATAGACCTCATAGACCTTCGAAAGTATTCCCCAATCAGAGCTTGCCTCTGTAGGGGTCCTAGCGGAATCATATTGTTATGTTAGGTTTGCCGCCGATTTTCGCTGCGCGCCCGGGTGCCCGGGGGTGAGGTTGGCCGCCGATTTTCGTTGCACGCCCGGGTGCCCGTGGGGTGCCCGGGGGTGCCCGGGCGTGCCCAGGGGTGCTTTCTTTCTCTCTCTCTCTCTCTCGTTCTCTCTCTTTCTCTCTCTCTCTCTCTCTCTCTTTATATATATATATATATATATATATATAGCCCTATAGCCCTATAGCCCTACAACTCTATAGCGCTGCAGCTCTATAATTAGCCCTATAGCTCAACAGCCCTATAGCCCCCCTAGCCCTATAACCCTGATTGGGTTTTTCTCCGGTATCATATGCATAACTTGTATGTACGTTTCATATTCCCCAACAGCGCTTGCCTCTGTATGGGTCCCAGCGGATTCATATGGTTAAACTGAGGGAGGTGTGCCGCCGATTTCGGTGGCCGGCCAGGGAGCCTGGGTGCCCGGGGGTGCATGGGTGCCCGGCCGGTGCCCCGGTGCCCGGGTGCCCAGGTGCCCGGGTGCCCAGGTGCCCAGTAGCCCTATAGCCCTATAGCCCTATAGCCTTATAGACCTGTAGCCTGTTATAGCCCTATAGCCCTATAGCCCTACTAGCCCGATACCCCATATACCGCATAGACCACCCTTCGGGTGATAAGGAGGTGAGGGGGGGGGGAGGGACCACCGTCGCACTCGATCGATATCACTATCGATCTCATTATCGATCTCACAGTCGATATGGCTATCTATCTCACAGCGATCTCACATTTGGTCTCACTATCGATTTCACTATCGACACCACAACCGACCTCACGATCGATCGCACATTCGGTCTCACTATCGATATCACTATCGATATCACTATCGATCACATTCGATCGATCTCACTATCGATCTCACCATCGATCTCACGATCGATCTCACATTCGGTCTCAATATCGATCTTACTATCGATATCACAATCGATCTCACAATCGATCTGACTATCGATCTCACTATCGAACTCACTATCGAAGTCATTATCGATCTCTCGTTCGGTATCACTATCGATCTCATTATCGATATCACAATCAATCTCACAATCGATCTCACATTCGGTCTCACTATCGATCTCACTATCGAACGCATTATCGATCTCATTATCGATCTCACAATCGGTCTAACTATCGATATCACTATCGATATCACAATCGATAGTGAAATCATCTTCGTCATCACCTCTCACCATCATCATCTCCATCATCATCGGGACACCATCATCATCATCGGGACACCATCATCATGATCATTCGCAACATCATCATCATCAGCATCACCATCATCAGCATATTCGGGACACCATCATCACCATCATCATCATCATCATCATCATCATCATCAGTACCATCATCATCATCATCATCATCATCATCATCATCATCATCATCATCATCATCATCATCATCATCATCATCATCATCATCGGGACACCGATGGGACACCGACGAAACACCGGCGGGACACCGCGGGCCCGCGGTTGCCTGGAAGGGAATCATTTGGTCCGGCCGCGCCTCAGCCACACGGGACACCAGCGGGACACCGGCGGGACACCGCGGGCCCC